CGAATCGAGCCGCTCGCGAGCGGCTCGATTCGAGCTCGACTCGAGCTCGAGCTGGTCGAGCCAGAGTCGAGCTCGAGCTCGAGCTCAAAACATTAAGCTCGTTAGGCTCGCGAGCTCGAATATATATATATATATTTTTTTTTTTTATTTTTATTTTTAATAGTAAAATTACATAAATATCCTTAATATTTTATTATTTATTAAGAAAAAATATTATTTTATTTATTTTTTTAAAAATAAAATAATTATTTTTTATTTTTTTCGAGCTCGAGCTCGGCTCGAATCGAGTCGAGCTCGAGCTCGAACTTGAAAATTACCATCTCGTCGAGCTCGAGCTCGAGTTCGAGTTCGATGAAATTAAGTTAAGGCTCGACTCGATAAGGCCAAAGCTCGACTCGGCTCGGCTCGTTTGCATCCCTAAATTCAACGAGTCATTCGCAGAAGGGTTCCTATCATCATGACGTGCCCACGTCGTGTCCTAAGGAAAGGTAAAAAAAAAATTTCCTTTTTTTTCTTTCTTCTTTCTTTCTTTCTTCCATCCGAACTCCACCGCCACCAACCATCAACATATGTCAAGCTCCATAATCATTTGCCCGTCACCCGTAGCTATCTACAGACGTCCTCAATTCTCAGGGAAGTTTCGTTGTCCCTTTTACTTCATCTTTTGATTCTTTATCTTTTACATTGAGGACAATGTAATATTTAGGTGTGGGACAGAGTAGTATATTGAAAAAGTGCAAGTGTAGGCATTTTTTTAAAAAAATTTTTTGTTTGACTTTGTCGAATTTTATCCAATTTTTGCCTATATTTATGCATACTTGTGGTTGTTCATGATAAACGATGGTTAGATATCTCAAATTTTTCTATTGCTAAGATATTACACTCTAAGGCGTTCAATATGACATGGTTAAATTTAAGGATATCTCTTTGGTGAATATTTGAGATTTTGTGACTTTTGCATTTTTGGGTTAACTTCTCTAAGTATTTTAAATATTTATCTAGAATTTTTTTTGTGCAAATTGGTTCAACTATTAATCTTAGCTCTCCATGTTTAAAAAATGAAGCGGATTTGTGTGATCTTTAATTTTAATTTGATACTTATTTATGAATAGTATTGCGCTATACTCCGCTAGTATCATTGCCCAGTAATTGGAGGTCTTTATCATAAGTGTCGATTTTGTCGTCAAAAAGTAACGATAGCTATGAATATGTGATTTTTAAGCGATAAGGGCTGAGTAACCGGATTCTTTCATTTGATAAATGTCAGAATTCGCGTCAAAATGTTTAAATGGCTAAGAACTAAGCATTTTCCTTGAAAAAAAAAGTGCTAACAGTAATAAAAAAAAAATTTGTACGAGATTGTGGATAGTTACATTAGCCTGCTGATCCATGAATTTTAATGTTGAGATTTTGCTTAATAGTCGAACCATTTGCTGATGAATGCTGGTTGAATATTTTATATTTTTAGATTAGTTAGTCATAAATTGAAAAAGTTCTTGATCTTGAAAGCTAACTGGAGAGATATTTCTTAGAGATTAGCCAATAATACTTGACATGTATTTTAATTGTATTTTGGTAATAGAAAATTTGAACAATGGCCATTGTTTAAATTTGATTGCTTGATTTGCTGTTCTCAGTTGTGTTACAATTTTGTAATGCCAATTTCCTGCCTGTTATTCAATATCTATCTATATCTTTGTTATATTAAGTGTGGGAGTTTGAGATAGTGCATTTAGCACATTAGATTTTCTAATCTAATTAGATAGGGATTTTAAATCATTTCTGCTGGACAACTTGCCTTTAAAGAATTAAACTTTAGGTTAGACTTGACCGGATAAATCAAAGAAGGATTCTTTTAATGGACACTCACATCTCAAGTCACATACTCACATTTAATACATTATTTATATTTAAACACTTCCCAAATTATTTTCACTTTTGCCGAAAAAAATTCTTTTAACCAGTGTTCTTGGCGCACCTGTTAGCCAAATGGATAAGGGGCCTCTTTAATAAAAATTTTTGTCCATTTGTACAATTCATACAACATTTAATGTAAAAATTTACAATATCGGTGTAAACGTGAATTTTATCTACTCATATAACTAGTTCACGATTTACATCAAAATTATACTAGTTCACACTAGAAGCTATAAAAATTATAACTAAGCACAATTGGACAGAACCAACGGGAAAGGCTCTTGATTCTAGCCAAACCCACAAAGAACAGTATACTTTAAAAACCATTTCAATGAAATTAGCTTCCCTTTGAAAGTATAGATGAAAAATTGAGGGTCTGTTTGGATGAAATTAACTTCTTTTAATCCTTACTTTTTAAGTTGTGCAGTTTAATACTCACAAACAAGTGTGTGGATGTGTTGGAGCCCAAAATTGTATGAAGGATACAATAAGAAAGTTGAGCATTATGTATTCCCATTTTAAAAGTAATAAATATTTCGGAATAAATCAAAATAAAAACCAAGATATATAAAATGGTGTGGAGGGAGTAGGTAAGAATTTGAAACCTGCTAGTTTAAAATTTTTGGGTCAAAATTGAACTCCAAACTCATATGGGTTTTTCGCCATTACAACAAGTTGTTTCTCGGATTTTCTTCCCTGACAACATGATATTCCATTCTTTACTAGGGTGGCTAAAATTGCATACGGAAACTATGGATGATGTTATTTTCTGTGGCTGTTGAGTGGAATGGGAGATTGGCATGTGGGAAGCAACGGTCAACGTAAAAACAGGGGAAATAAGTGTAACGTATATGCACACAATAATATTTTCAGAAAGCGAACCAATCATCTGAAAATTATAAAGAAAATAATAAATTTTCCCAAAAATGGCATTCAATGAAAATATTTTTTCCATGAAATTATTTTACATCCAACCAAACAAACCCAGGACGAGAATTTTGTTGGGAAGTTCTACTTGTAGGACCCATAGTTAGTACAATATGGGACAAGTATAATGCCAAATATTATACATATGTACAGTGCATGAATTTTTTTTCAGAAGTATGATGAACAGTTTGGCATAAAAATACATGGTCGGCGAAATTATGCATATAAATTCGTACGTGAATAGTGCATATATTTGAAAGTTGCCAAACAAAAATAAGGATAAATTTACTATAATTTTCAAGGACTATGCTATGTTTATACCAATTTTAAATTTATATTTATATATGAGATATTAAATTTATTAAAATTTTATCACCTTATTACTTAAATATGTATGTATCTACATTTATTATGATACATATAATTTTTATTTTTTATATAACTCACGAAGTATGTTATTATCCTCATTCAAAATTTAAAATTTGTTGAAAATTTGAAGTATAGTACATTAAAAATTTATTACTTGGTTTACATGGTTAATTGAAAAGTACGAGTATTTCTCAGAGTATTTTTCAAATGTATGAAATACGAAAGTTTTCTTGACTGATAAGTATGGATGTTTATTGTATAATACAAGTATATTTACTAACTTTTCTAATTTGCAAGGATTGATTACAAAATGCACCCTCAATAGTACGTTTATTCTTTCTTGTTTTGCTCATATTATTTAATTGCTGCAACCCACACTCGAAACTTTTTCAATGTTCCAGAATTGAAGAATCATCTCTACAAACTAGGGATGAAATCTAATTTCATCAGTCTTGATGCACTTACTTAATTACATGTCAAGAATGTATACCAAAATAATAAAGATTTTGACACATAGTAGTTCAGATTTGCACAAGGTCAAGATTTTTTTTTTTTTTTGGTTTATAAATTCAGTATCATTTGGCGTGACATGGGATTCTTCTCCAAAATTGATATATCACAAGATTAATGACTCTTTGTATTAGTTATTGATTAAAAAGACTTAATCGTTGAGTAAATGACGAGGTTAGTAGTTTAGATGAAGGATGTGTTTGGCAAAAAATATTCAATTTCGATGTATTTTGGTTAAAAGGACTAAATCAATTAAAATGATAGTTCGAAGACTAACTTAGCGAAAATGTAAATTGAGGATTAAAATAATTTTAGTAAAAAAAAGTTAAAAGGACTAAATAATTTATTTCCCCTCCCCTATTTACTAATTGAAAGTGACTTGGACGCCCAACCAAAAATGAAAAAAATAATGAAAACGGGACTTGGCCAGTTAACAAAAGAACAAAACAGAAAATTTATTCAATTAGGTGGCAATTAATGCATGACAGCATAAAATTTATTGAAAATTATATGACCTCTGTTGAATTTTAGCAACCGTTGTATGGAAAAAATTTTAGCAATTTATTTTATGAGAAAGAACTACAAACTTCCACTCAGAAAATCCCTACTTTCAACCACTCTTGCTATAAGAATAAAAAATGAAGTTTAATCAGCACCAAATATCGTAAGAGGTGATTCTGATTCTTGAAACTTTTGCTGGCTGTCTAATCATGTTTTTTAATCAACTAATTTTGAAAGAGAATGGCCAACCGGTGTAGACCCTAAACTTTGGACATAAAATAAACACCCAATGTTTTCTCTTTAGGCTTAACCATTAAGAATAGCATACATGACACAAAACTCATACATGCCGTAGGATAAATTGTCAAATTAATAAGGTGGAATGCATATTAACATCATAAGTACATGATTTGAATTTCAATCCCACCTTACTGTAAGAAGAAATTCAGACTTGCAACATACAATTTGTGAATAGATCAACATGTCTTCCCAGAATTATTTCAAGAAGAGATGCTAATAAAAGCCATGACAAGTCTACACAACAAATTCTAGCACTTGGTTCCTTGCAATTTTAAGTAAGGAGAAGTGAGTTGACACTTGACACCAGTATTATTCTCTTCTCTAGGTGTTTATGAAATTATTATAGCAGGTTGATCTAGTAACTAGGAAGATCACCCATGATATAAGGATTAATAGCTCCAAAATAGTAGTAAACTTTGACAGTAAAGAAACAATAAGAAATGCTACATATTTTTCTAATATCCAAGAGTCACTCTTCAGATAGATTCTTCGGAAGCCAGAGAAGGCAAACATGGGCTGAAATGACTGGAAACTGCTCTCGAATCAAGAAACTCTAAGACTAGTCCAGTTTCTACACATCTAGGCACCTTATATTGACCAATAGAAGCCCCTCTAGAGACAGCAAGCTCCACAAGGTCCTGAAATGTACCATTCTTTAACAGACGAATTTCCAGTGGTGCAATTGCTCCGTGTGCTCGATATCGCTTGTATGTTAAGCTGAATGAGTTCTCAACTATTTGGCAGCAACGGCTGATAACCTCATCACTCTGTGCATTCTTGTCCGAGTCCCCAACTGACAACTCCCAATAGATAACATAATGCCCTGGAGCTATCTTTTTACTTGCATGACTCGTATAATCAACCAAGCTTACACTGTATTCTTGGAGCATTTGGGATGCATTATCCATAGCCATTTGTAGCTCAACCTCATCTGTTTTATCCCCTTCAATGCTCAATAGCACACCTTTCCTCCTCAAGAACTTGAATTTTGGTGCCGAATTATGAAATCCTGTTGCTCTAAGTATATCGCCCATTTGATACCTGTACAATCCGGCATGTGTAGTAGTCACGACTTCATAGTCCTTGCCAACTTCTACATCCACAAGATTAATAAGGTCAGGAGTTGTAACAGTACTATTACCGATGTCCATCTTGGAAGAATGATGTTCCTGCCGTATAAATTCGAAATAGGCTAAGTTTGGCATGAAAGTAAATGACACGTCTTCTGGTTTGGATATGGGGTTGAGGTTAATTCCGAAGCAACACTCAGAGGATGCATACTTGGCAGTTGCAATGGGTAGCCCGCGGCTGTAATAATCGAGTGAGGGAGCATATTGGATCATTGAACCAGTGATTATAGTACCGAGATACTTTGCATTAGGCCAAATTCTTTGAATAATTCCTTCCCAATTCTCTCCAGAGCACTCAATGGTTAAAAAATCTGCGAGTTCTGGATCGGATTTCATGATTCGAGCCATGCATTCTCGAAGTGGCTCGTAAGTTATTTTGGGATTGAGTGATCCAACTCTAATGTCAAGAACCAAATCTTGCCAATTGAGTTCAAAAAACTTAATGACTCGAAGTAGAGCTGAAGCCGAGGAAGCACCAACCCGGTTGATTTGCTTGTGTTGATAAAGCCCACACAGCAATTGGACGTACATGCTTTGGACATAATCGGTGCACAAGACACTTTCATAGGGGCTTGTATATTGGGTGTATGGATCACGTCTTTGGTTCTTGAAGTGTTCACTTCTGTAGTACTTATTAAGGGCTGTTAGTATCATCTGTCCTCCTGGGGTCCTTATCTCTGGCCATGAAAAGTAGAAATACAGCCCTTTTCCCCTGTTCAAATCTGGAACATAGCTGTTTCATGGTAGAATGAATAAATAAATAAATACATATATATATATGTATACACACACATACATACATACATGCATACATATATACACATGACTGGCATTTCTAAGGACTTTAATGGATTAATTTGTCTTACACGTTCATGACTGGTATCTCAAGACTTGATAGAACCTGACGACGATTCCATTCTTCTTCGGGCATAGGGATCAGTTTTCTTTTACCTGATGTCGTCCCAGAGCTGCCAAAGTTAAAAATTTGTGGCTAAGTACAAAAAAAATTCCTGAAGGTTCTTAACTTAAACAAGCTTGTTCACCTAATGCTATTAATTTATGTATTTTTCTGGTGGTCTAGGTATTCATAATCAATTATGAAAATTTTGTTTATTAGCAGTCTTTTAAAGAAACTGGTCTGCATATCAAATATTGGGAAAAAAATTTCTTGAAGAACATATGGTGTTAAGTGTATACATGTAACAAAAGTCACCTGAGCAAAAAGTCAGAAACAGGTAGAGCAGTCAAGATTGCGGAACGATCACCGTTTTCCATACGCTGAATTTCAGGCCGAATATCCTCGTAAGTGATACATGGAACTTTGGATGTAAATGTCTTAGTGTCAGTTGCACCATCAAGATTGAATCGTTGTAGATACTCAGTTTCACCATTCTGTTTTAGTATATCTGCCAAGACCCCATCTTCTGGACTTCACCAGCATTTTTGGTCATCTCTTCAATGAACTCTAGAGCCTTCGTATTCCAATCAGTTTCCATAATGACTTGAGCAATGTTAAAGAAAAGGATGGATTGTGGGATGTAGATGTAGTTTGGGAATATGTGTGTGTGTGTGTCTGCAGAGAGAGAGAGAGAGATGTGCACTCAAACCTGAATAAGAAAGAATGACTGAACTAAAATGTTAGAAATTTAGGACGAAAAGTTTGTTAGATAGTCAGCCTTATCCTAATACCATGACCAAAAATGGTCCTCCGAAAAAAATAAGGAAAAGAAAAAATGTGATTCTCACTCGGGTCCCTCATTATTTAATGAGTAAATTACTAATAACTTTCATTCCTCTATGGTTTCATGTAAATTGTGAATTTAATGGGGAATAGTTTATATAACGTCATTCATTGAAATACCATCAGTGCACGACTTAACCACTTGTACAAAACTATAGAGTGCATATTAAGTGTAATTAGGGATTTAGTATAATCAATTAATAATTTGTAATAGTACACATATATAATTATTAGTATAATTGATAATATCAATTATATTACATATATTAATATACATTATATAATACATATAACTAATAATATCATTATCATAAATTTGTAACTAATTAAATTATATATTATATATATAATTATATACATATATTTTATATATTTGTTTTTTTAAAAGCGGGTGGCGGGGCGGGGGATATTTATATATATTTATATATTTATTTTTTCCCCCCGTTTCTAAGCGGGGGGAATTAGTCCCCCGTAGGGCGGGTGCCCGCGTTGCCATCCTTAAGCCTAATAATCATAACTGATTATACATTTCATTCATTTTCACTTTTTATAAAATCACAGGAGGTTGTATGCTCTTTTGAAATCTTAAGAGGTCATCTGACATTATACAAAATTACAGGAGTTTATATGTAATTTATCCTTATTTAATTTGTTCAATCCACTCTCTGAACTTTTCGAGTTTTTCAGAATTGAACAATCACCCAAAATATGCACAAATGAAATCCGATTTCATCATTTTGGATGGACATGCTTACATGTTTACACAAATAATAAAGAAATCACCAGATACTCATTCAATGGATTAAAAGAATCAAATTGGCTAAAAATTGATAATTTAGAGACTAACCTAGGCAAAAATATTAATTTAAAGACTAAACCTATCCTAGTAAAAATGTAAAACCACCTGTTTGGTTGATGAGTTTTGCCTACCTTGATGGGTATAGCTAGTGTGTTGATACACATATATGATGTTTGGTATGCTTATATGTATTTATCACCATGAAAAAAAAATCCATAACTAGGTAATCGCATTATAGACCAAATTAGGCAGTATCAATCCATCATCAAATTTGAGGGTGCAATATTAAAGAAAAAGTAGAAAAAGGAAACCGCGGCAAGACTGCCAGCAAAATTGCAAATACCAATTTAATCTCTCTTTCTTAGTCCCCAATGATACTAGGAAGAAATAAATAGTTCGGGTTACAAGGTTTTTCTAATTTTCTGGTTTGACCCTTAGAGTTTTTGAAAACTATTAATACACCTAGAAATATTTTATAACTCAATATCACAGTCATAAATTGTAGTTTATTCTTGAAATATGCCCCTAAACTTAATTCTAAACTTGTAGAATATACATCAAACTATATAATTGCTATTTGATTAATTTATTGGTTGTTTTTTCTTGTTAAATAGCTTGAAGCATCAAACATTTTATAAATATACATATTTTTCTTGATTTTAACGTGCTTTTAGGTATTTTATATGGAATTTTGATTTAAAGTAAAATCTATTATTGACATAATCTAGTTTTTTGTATTGATATGACCAGTCAAGACCCTTTAACCCATGATCATTGAACTCGTTTGAATCGTTATCCGGTTCAAATTTTAAAACATAGGGTAAAACATCTTGGGGCGTCGGGAAGGGGGAGGCGATGGTCCAGCCGGATGTACGTCGAACAATGCCCCATCTTGTGAGACGGCTCTTGGGGCATTAAACGCGTACCCTAGGATGTTAAAAGGCCATATAAGAAGGAAACCAAGTAAAGATTAAGAGATCATTTTCGCTAGGAAACTATTAAGTATGGCAAGGAAACAGTTAAGGAAGTGATGGGAAGAGACTTGATCAAAAGAAATTATCTTAACTTCATAAAGAAACAAAAAAAAAAAGGAAAAAGAAAAGGCAAGTAAAGAGATTAAGAGTCTGAGAGCCGTTTGGGATTGCGATAGTTTATTGAATAGTACTTTTCTAGTAAAGTTTTTAATAAAAATATTTGTCAATTGTTTAAGTGATTTTAAATATATTGTTTAAAAATATAATTGAATAAGTACTTATTGTATTAGGTAATGTATAATTTGATAGTTTTTAAAAGTATTTATTTCTTTATTTGGTTCTTAATATAGGATAAAATGATTAAATTTGATATTTTATTTTTTAAATTATAAAATCTACTTTAAAAATACCAAATTTGAACTTTTGCTAAAAATGCTTTTAACATCAAAAAGTTTACTCCTAATTTATGAGATAATATTTATCAAACACTTCAAAAGTATTTTTTTTTTTTATCAAAAGCTCTTTCAACAGCTAAAAGTACTTTTTTTTTAATCAAAAGTACTGTAACCCCAAACTAGACTTGAAACAAGTAGGAATCATGGACTAACGGGTGTGGTGGCGATGTTAAGAGTCGGATATACGGTTAGGATGCTTTTATTTGCTATTAAAGCTCCCCGCCTCGCCACCCTATCCCACCCCCACAAAGCTTTGATATTGTTGTAACATATCTATACAAACATTGAATTAACCCCAATTTTTTTAGATAACATATATTTTCTACAGATATTAATTATATTTAATTATTAAATATTCAAATCCTCTAGGGACTTACGCCACGCATCCGGGCTTATGCCCCTGTATTAAGAACCTAAAAAATGCACAACGCCTCGCATAATGCCTCTACCTTTTCAAGCTGTTGAGCCAACTTAAAATTGTAGATGACGATGGATATGGAGGATGATAATGAATGTGCAAAATAGCAGTGATGCTATGCACGTTGAAGCCTTTTTCGATGAGGAAGACTACATTGAAGCTATTTTAATATAGTAAAGGCAAAGATCTCCATTACTTTGAGAATGCTCGGTTTGGATTAGATATTTTTGGAGGTATTTTTGAAAAATTTTACTGTAACAGTGTATATAAAAAACTTTTACTATAAATATTTTTTGAAATATTTGATATATTGTATGGATGAAATTTTTTTGAATTTTTTTTTTTATGTATTACTGTAACATTATATATGAAAATTTTATTTTTCAAAAAATGACCAATCCAAACAAATTAGGACTATTATCCTTATGAGAGGTAGAGTGTGGCAATAGTTGCAAAAGAGTAATTATGAGGGGAATGGTAGGAAAAGGAAAGGAGTGAAATTAGAGTTATTTAATTTTTTTTTCGGCTTGATTTTTTAGGAGGGAAAGAGAGAGGGAGGATCTAGTTGTTTTCTTTTTTAAAAAATTTTGATTTCCATCCAAAAGTGGATAAAAAGGAAAAGGAACGAAATGAAATTATTTTTAATTTTTTAACATATTAATTCACCACCCTTCCCCCCCCCCTCTCTCTCTCTCTTCAAGCCACCTTTCATTCTTTACAAATTTATTCCAAGTAAGATGAAAGGAAACCACTTTCCTTTCTTTTTCTTTTTCACCTACACCCTTGCCTTTTCTTTTCCTTCCTTTCCTCCAAATAACACTTAAATTTGTTATGAAAACAAAATTGTTTGGATTGTACATTATTTACACCTTATTTACACATATTAACTTATTTACATTATCAATATATTTTTAATCATTTTTTATCTCACATATATTATATTAAAAATATTATAATATTTTTTTTACAAATTTATCTTAAATAATCTACTTTCGAATCTAAACACGAGAATGAAAGGGAGAAGGACGAAAAATTTATTATAAAGTCATGAAGATGGAATATTGGGAAAACATTGGAAGCCGCTGTTTTCACTAGTACTTCTCGGAATAATCGTCCGTCCTGCAAACATTGATGGTTAACAGGGGACTCGGGGCACGGACGGTTCTGCAACCGTCCCTGCCAATTGTAGTCATTATCAACTGACCGTAACTTTCTTTGTACATCGTGTAATTTTTTTTTCACATGATATATTTTCACAACAGATAAT